CACGCTCCGTTTTGCGTAACTATTTTTAAATCCCTGTAGAACCTGAACCGTGTAAGCTAGCGCAATAATTTGTTTTGCATATGAAACCGGAGGAGTTGTACTTACATCTATGCCATCAGCTTGTCCTCGGTCACGGTTTCGTTCCACATATAGCTTTGCAAAAATTGCATAAAAAGCGCTTGCAGGAACAAAAACATAATATTCCAGAAACACGCTTTGCCGTTCCTATCAGCTGTTCGTAACACTTCCCACAGTGAAATGATGCACATGCTGTTTTCTTTGCAAATTTGCATCATAGGATTGTTTTTTGTTTTTCCTGCAGTATATAAAAATTGCTGTATCTCCAAAATAAAACTATGAAGACACTCAAAATAAATTTCCTGTGGTGGGAAACTATTTTTTGCAACTTTATTGTATTTAAAGTTTTGAGGGATAAACCTCTTAAATTTCTCCAAGTAGAAATATATGTAAACAAAACAAAGCATTTTCAATTTTTTTTGTAGTTTATTGCACTTTTTTGCAATTTATGTAATTACTATGGACTTAATGCATACATATTATTAAAATATGGGCTATAACAGTTGTATTGATGTATAGCAACTTGAAATGCTCCCACAAATGGCACTACAGCATGTAAAAAAATAATATAAGCTCTGGCGGACTTGGTTCTATAGTAGGTCTTAAAGGGTTAAATAAATATCGTCAAATAATCGTGATCTCAATTTCAGTGAAAATAATCGTGATTATCATTTTTGCCATAATCGAGCAGCCCTACTCCAAATCCAGACCTCCATGGGTTGCTATATGTGATTCCCATTGATAATTTTTGTGTGATTTTTTTTTTGTCAGCATATTCAACTATGTAAAGAACAAAGTATTAAGAGTATTTCATTCATTCAGATATGGGATGTTTATTTTTGTGTTCCCTTTATTTATTTTTTTGAGCAGTGTATTTTTCCGAAACACACTTGCACTAGGTGATGCTACACAAACACTAAAAACTATGAACACTTATTTGTTAAATCAGCTTTACAACTGGAGTTAAATCTGTGACCATTTCTTAGAGCAGGGCTCCATGGTGTGATTTTTCTGAAATCACGCAAAGTTTCATGGTTTTTCTAAAAAACAAAAAAAAACCTCTTATAATCAGAGATGGGCAATAATGCGTTACTTGTAACAGTAAATTGCAGAAAAAGTAGAATTGGGCTGAAAGATCTATCGCTTTATCACCTATTCAGGTTGTGAATTGTGTTTTTAAAAAAGTAACTAAGTAATTACTTTTGAAAATAAGTAATCAGTAAAGTAACAGGATTACTTTTTGGGGGAAGTAATTAGTTACTGATTACTTTTTTCAAGTAACTTGACCAAAACTGCTTATAATATCTATAAAATGCACTACCTGTCAAAAGTTTTCGAAAACCACAACTAGCCTCATACCAGAGGGTGCTGCATGGAGCTGCAGAGTGCTGTGTGTTCTGGTTCAGGGAGCCTCTCACTCTGTACAAGTCACCGACCCTGGATCCAGCAAACAGCCCCAGACCATCACACTTCCTCCTCCATGTTGATGCCACACACTGTGAAACCATCCTTTCACCTACTCCACGGCGCACAAAGATCCTGAGTGATGAAACGAAGAGTCCAAATGTTGATCCATCAGTCAATGATACCTTCTTCCAGTCTTCAGTAGTGCAATGTCGGTGTTTCATGGCCCAGACAAGCCTCTTTGTCTTATTCTGACGTCTGGCTTTCTTGCTGCAGCTCGTCCTGTCAAACCTGCATCTCAAAGCCTTCTCTTCACACCTGAAACTGAGACTTTCTCACTACGACCACTATTAAGCTGCTTGAAGCTGTTGTCCTGTGAGTCGCCTATATCACAGCTGTTAACTCTCAGGAACGTGTCCTCTGATTCAGTCGTGTCTTTGGGTCTGCAGACCTCTTCCTGTCACAGTTTGTTTCTGAGCCTTTCGATGCTAAAGGAAACTGGACTCACTGACACTTTGACTTTCTTTGCAGTTTCTCTGTCGGACAGACCGACATTTATGTGTTATGATGGTCTGTCTCTTCCACTGTTATTCTCACCATGTTTGTATCAACACACTACAGTACAGTACTGTTCATCTGATGCCCATGAGGGTATGGTACCACAGTGTGCTCCAACACTGCTTCATGCAGACAGAGGGGGATGGAATCCAGACAAGTTGGAACACCTGTAGGAATTAGTAGCACCAACTTTCAAGGCTGATCAACCTCCAATACTGCAGAACAGCTTTGAATTGTTAACTCATGTTGTGCTCCCTGAAAAAGGCCTTTCTGTATAATTCTGACGTATACATTACATTTCAGTTTTGGGTAACCTAACCTTTTTTAACCTTTGGCAGTTTACCACTTTTGTACCATTTCAACCTATTCACTGGACTTGAAACACATGAATTGTGATAAATAACTGGAAGAACTGGGGTGTGTTTACTATATATAGTAAACCAAGATATTTTCACACTGTAAGCAGTAATTAAACATCAAGTTGTAGTTTGTACAGTAAATATAATAAAACAGCAAACAACTTTTATATTTATGTAAAAGACTTTTATTGTGAAAGGAGAGATCTGTTCCTGTGTGGAATCTTAATCTGCTTAAGAAGGTTCATGATTGAGCTGGAAGTATCAGCTCAGAGAGTGATGAAGGCCTGTAAACCAGAATAATCGAGTGTGCGATCGGGTTTTACAGTGTCTGTCCGAAAGCGGTGAGGCAGGTCAGACCGATACGAGGAGGCACATTGCGTGTTGTCCAATATAGTTTTATTCCACTTTAAATCTGAAAAACAATGTTACAAAGCCTGGAGGTAAATATGATGTAGGACACTCTATGCCCCCCTTTAGACTCAGCCCTGTAGGGATCACTGGAGAGTGGGCTAGCTGCCGTCAGCCTTCAGCGAGCTCTATAAATTAAACATTATATCAGACTCAGTTAACAATTCATCTGCAAATTTTGATGTAGCCTTACTTCTGCAGCTTTACTGCAGATTTTTCTGTAAACTAAACGGCGATGGGTGGAGCTTTTCTCCAAGTTTGCTTTTCTCCGTTGGTCAGCTGTTTCCAGGTTTTAATGGTGACTTCAGGAACAGCGCTGCTGTTTCGGAGGCTGTGCTTTCTTTCTTCCCACCTAAGCTCACTGTGTCGGTAACGCCTCTGCCTCTTTGCTCTTCACGTTGTATAAACAGACTCCGCCTCCACATTAAACTGTGCCAGCGTCATCATCGGTGCTGCTGTTGTCAGTGTTTTAGGTTTAACACAGTTTATTATTCACACACTTCTGTTGTAGTCTGTAGTCAAAGTTTATTGGTCACATATCATGCACTGTGTGACATACGGCGAAATGCTTATCGCTGTGCAATTCCCGCCCATTAAAAATATTTGAATAAACTCAAGAATCAAAATGATGAAGGTGTGCAGATTAATGTATTTATTTTGTTATTAATTGTGTGTACAATGACGTGATATGAGAGAAACCAGATCAGAAGTATGTTGTTGTTATTAAAGTGTCGTCCGTTAAATGAAGAATCGAGGATTTTTTTTTTTTTTTAAATGATAAAGTTATAATCTGAGTTACTCAATGAATCGTGCCGCCCGCCTCTTTAAAACTGTGGATGACGACGAGCTCAGAACACAAGGGGAAGTAAGAGGTGCGGCCTGCCTCTGGATGTTGTAGTTTCACCATACGAGTCTGAGTTACCTTCTCCTAAACAGGAGGTGAGAGGTCATTTTTGAACTGTACAAACACACCCAGGTTTCCTTGTGGAGATCAGGTAAGGACATTCCTCTGACCTCATTTCCTGGTGTAACGCTTTCTGTCGTCCCCTCAGATGTGCCCCTGTGGTCGAAGCTTCAGTCTGGTTACGTCCCGAACATCCAGGAAATGTTTCAGATCCTCGACAACCACATAAAGATGAACCAGGTGGATCACATGACCTTCACCTCCACTTAGAGCTACAGGTGAATGCACATCAAGTTAACTGCACACAGTGACGAGACTCACAGGAAGTTTGTGTGAACTCGGCAGGTGCGATCAGAGTATCAGCTTCACCTATCTGTTAGATTTTCCTTGTACTGATGCACGGAGAAACACCTGACAGGTACAGACTCACCTGTGACTCCAAAGACTGAATTTAGTCAATTTAAGAGGAACAAAAATTCGGTCCAGTCAGTCCAGAGACGGGTGTGACACCGAGACAGGTGAGGCAGAGGCGGGGCCAGAGTTTGATTTACAGACAGAAACATTTCTTTAAGTGCTTCAGGGAGTATGTTTTGTGAGATGGTCTCAGCTGTGCTGTATTCAGGTGTCTCTCTCTCTTATTACCTGTTCTGTGTCCAGGTGCTCCGGCTTGCTAGGCGTTCTCCTGATGGCGTTCATGAAGGCCAGGCCTTAAAACAGATTCTGAAGGGCCCGGCTGGATGTTCCTCGCCATGAACTGAGCACTCCCTCTGCACCGGCTCACCTTCAGCACTACAATACCAGAAAGCACTGCTGGCAGCCTTGTGCTAATTAGTGTGTAGACAGGAAGTAGATGGCTGTTTATGTGAAGCTTTTATTGTGAAAATAATAAAATGTTCAGGTCTGTTTCCTGCCTGTTTGTGGTTTTGCAGGTAAATGCACATGTCCATGCAGATCGAGCCTTTTATTCACAGCATGTTTACAGTGTGGCTCATTTATGACCAGAGAAGCAGCCATGACATCCCAGAATTCATAGCAACGCACTTTCACTCCAGGAAAAGAAACCTTGAAGATGGCTGACAAACTCAGGTAATAGATAGGTATGACTGACACAACTGATTCCTGTCAGGAGCTCGTCAGAGGCTTGCTGTGATCAGGCAGGATTCACATGGCTTCATTTTTACTTCAGTCACAGAAAGTCTGGGAGGGAGTAGGAACTCCAGGCCTTGAGGGGCTGCAGGTTTTAGATCTTGGTGCACCCGAATCAAATGATTACTTCATTAACAGGCCTCTGGAGAACTTAAAGACATGTTGAGGAGGTCATTTAGTCATTTAAATCAGCGGACATGTCTAAAACCTGCAGGACGTTGAGGCCTGGAGTTCCCCACCCCTGCTCTAGATTGTGTCTGCAGCAGGAACGTAGCAGAATGATTTTGGGCTTTTTTCATTATGTCTAATGAGGACAGTTTCACCTGTTCTCATTTATGTGACCTGCTGGAACATGCCAACATCAGTGAGGTGAAGTGAGTTTAGTTTGTGGATGGGATTATGATCCGTCTCATGGACGCTGTTTCCATCACAGTGTTACTGAGTCCACAGAGCAACAAACTCCACAAATGCTCCTTTTTTTGTCACTTGTTTTATCAGATGACATTAAAAGTGGTGAAATGAGGCAATTTCTGCACTGAATCCAAAGAGGCCACAAAGGTGGAGCGGGCATGTGGTGATGATGTGAGCTGATCATCATTTCCTGTTTGGAGACATGAATCATCTGAAATGTGAAGGTTCATCTCCAGGCTCTTTGTGAAGGGTCTGGATTTTCCAACATCTGAGTTTCAATGGTTCAGGTAGACTGAGCGGGTCGGGCTTAACACAGTCGAAAGGTTCCATGTGTCTCTGAGTTTTAGTATCCTCATCAGTAACTACAAACAAAATAAATACAGTCATGTTTATTAAAATAAAACAAGTTCAATGTCCCAGGTCAGGTTCTCCTTTCAGGTGTTACTAATCCAATCCAATGTAACTTTGACATGAATATAGTTTGATTTCAGCGACTGAGTTATTTAAACAGTTTCATTTGAATGTCCTGTGTTTTTATAGCCTTTTTCCCTGCAGTAACCACACAGTAACTGTACTTTTACTGCAGTACTTTGAAGTACATGTCAGGTAGTTCAGTCTGAGTACATAAAATAAACAAAACCATAAAGATATATATTTTTTTAAAAAGGTCTTCCCTTCAATCAGTGGACGCTGCGATGCACGCGGTGAGGCAGCAGGGGGCGCCAATGAGCCGGTGTTTTTGAACACTTCCGGTACAAAAGAAGCGGCTGTGAGACAGACAGTAGCTAACGTTAGCCTCTGCAGTACGTTTATTCGACTTAATTATGTTTTTTTACTCTACTAAAATGTTTGAGGCCGGAAATCTGTCGCTGACACACACGCTAGCTTCACGCTAACGGTAGGAACCACAGTGACGAAGAGAGAGGTGCTAACGGCTAAAAGTAAACTGCTAAGAGGAGCAGTGACGGTGACAGCGGAAGCTAACAGTTTATTGCTAACAGTAAGTAAAGTTTAAGCTCAACTGCACACATGCCACGTTTAAAGTATCTGTGTGTCTGAATCTACTGTTTAAATCTTGAAGGCCGTGTTTCTAATTCTTGTAAAGGTAAAACTCCATCATCATCAGTGACAGCAGGGTCACTGGGTCACCAGAAGCGTTTCTTTCGGCTCCTGGTGACCTTAGTGTGATCCCCCTGCAGCTCCACGAGTTTAGCTGGTCCTGGTTTTATGTATCAGGCTCAGATTAGGAACTCTTGACTTTCTGAACAGAGACGAAGCAGCTTCTGGTACGGAGAAAAGGTGCGAGTTTCAAAGGTCCCTCCTGTTTCCTTTTCCTAACCTCTTTTACTTGCCCACGGTGGAAGGATCATTGAGGTAAAGGAAAGGTGGGTAGGAGACGTACGCTGAGGAAAGGAACGGCCTCACACTCGTTTCTTTTAACAGCGTGACACTGCAGAACATGAACTACAGATTGATTTTCTTTCATCCAGATCTCTTATCTAAATTCCATCGCTGTTTTTAGAGGAAAAAAAAAAAACGAGTAAAACCTGACTTTGCGCTGGGTTATTTTGGTTAGCAGCCTTCACGCTCCCTCCTTGGGAGTCACTAATTCAGCTGCTTCTGCTACCTCAGAGTAAATCTGTCCCATTGCATATAATATCCAGATGCGGCTGTCGCAGCACCTTTTGAAGAGGAATTCTGCGACTGCATTAAATTTACTCCATCACCACTGATCCCAGCTGACCTGAAGTAAACACAAACCCTGCAGTACCACAACAAAGGACATCACTAATGAACACTGATCATACAGAACCTTGAGCACACTTTGTTCATATAGATCAGGGGGTAGGCAAAGCCAGGCCTCGAGTGCCGGTGTCCTACAGGTTTTAGATCTCACCCTGGGTCAACACACCTGAATCAAATGATTAGCTCATTACCAGACCCCTGGGCAACTTCAAGACATGTTGAGGAGGTAATTTAGCCATTTGAATCAGCTGTGTTTGATCAAGAACACATCTAAAACCTGCAGGACACAGGCACTCGAGGCCTGGAGTTGCCTACCCCTGATATAGATCATAATTTTAGCTGGTACAGCGTTCTTTGTGCAACAGTACCTCAACAGGAAGTAGTTTTTATTCCAGCAGTGTGATGCTCAGCTGTGAGTTTAACCGCTGCTGTTCAAAACTATAAATCTATCAGCGGTGTATGGATGAAATGGAAAATGCAGTCAGAAGGAACATTTACATGATCCACTTTGGTCATGTTTGTTTTCATGCGTGGTCAGATGTTTTTTTTTGTTTTTTTTCCACTCCCCTTTTATAAAGGATGCTCCAGCGTCTCTTATGCTAAAGGAAGAAAGATACCTGTTCCTAGTGATGGCCAAATGAAGCTTTCTGAAGCACTGAAGCTTGTATTGAAAAATGGTTCATTACTCGAAGCTTTCCAACACAGTCCTCTCCGGTGACATCTGGTGGCGAATATTTTGAAGAGCAGCTTGAATCTGCAAAATAAAACGGACTGCTCAATCATCACTGCTCACTCAAGAGTGGAGTCCTCTCCGATATTGGGCCACCGTTCCGTTGCTTTGAACATGTAATTGGTTTTGTTTTCTCGATTGGGGGGCTGAAAAAATGTAATGCGTATTTGCGTAATACATCGTCACTGATTTGTAGAATCATTTTGATTCGATACAGGATCAGATTCAATTTGATTGGAATGTGGAAAGTTTTGCCTCAGTCAGAAATATTACAATTCTGGTCATGTATCAGTATATATCCATAATTTCGTATCTATTACAAGAAAGCTGACACATGTGAGACTTAATTAGAGATGTAAACAGAGTTATGAAACCTGCAGCTGCAGAAGCCAGCGAAGAAAAAAGAGGCAAACACAGCGCGGACCCGACGACACACCAAAATCTGATTCTGACGCGTCTGGTCCGCCCTCTGTGTTCACGTTTGTATGCAGAATCCGTAAACCTGCTCCCAGTTACTGTTTTAGCTGTATGGTGTTTGACGACATGTTGTGAGGTTTAACCTGAGATGCTGGCGTTTCAGGCATAATAACGTTAATTTACAAATCGACACAGGATTGTAATGAATCAATATCACTTTATTCAATTTAGCATGGATTGTAATCAGAAAGGCGATAATCAAAACCCACCCCTAATCAAGAACTTGTAAAGTAAAAACATGATCAATGTAAGGTAGCCCTTTTGTTATTTACATTTAAAAAGAGGATTAGTGTTACTGTGCGCTGGCTGAGTCTATTTCTTTTCTTAGAAATAGTTTCTCCTGCCCTGGAGAAAATCCACTTGCATGGAACAGAAGAGGCTGTGGAGTGCAGGAACCACACTGCAAGCTGGTAGATATGCAGGTATTCCTGGGTCCTGCAGACTATCACCTAAAAACAATAAACAAAATGATTTTCTAAACTGTGTAGCAATGTAATGTACATATAGTGTCAAATACATTTTTGTAGTCTTCATTAGCTTTAATTCACATGGAAGTGTTCCTAAAGTCATATGCTGTAATGATATTTACATTATGAAAACATGATTTTGGACATTTCAAGTTTTTCACTTCGGCAGATAAAATGAATTGAGCAAAATCAACTCAAAATATTTCCACACGCCATAACGTCCTCTCTTCCTCGCTGGCTCCATATCTGTCAGTGGAATGATCACCTCTTCGCTCTCTGTCACCATCAACACACTCCACGAATCCCGTGGATGATTCACTTCCTTATATCCGTTTGAATCAGGTACCGAAGCAGTTACGTGCGTAATGAAGCTTCGGACGTCACTGGTCACGTGACTTTTGCCAAACGAAGCAAGCCTCGACACAGTGCTTCTGAACCAGTGTGTTGTTTTTTTTGACACACGCTCCGGAGCGTCAGCTTCAAGCGGGCCATCACTACCTGTTCCCCTATGAACAAGGATCAGATGGATTCATACACACCTGGCTGAGGTGTGTATGAAACCTGTGGGACTCTGTTCTTCCATGTTTATTTAGTTTTATTTTTTAAAATCTCACAGCATGGATTCATTAAAAGAATTACCGAGGGTTGTTACTGATTGGCTGGAGGGCATCGTCACAGGTGGATCAAAGCAGACTGATTCATGTCTAAAACTGACAATCGATAACACTCCAGCTGTTACAGGTGCAGGTACCTGAGCTGTTTCTCTGGTCTCCATCCTCGCCTGTGCCGTGAAGGTGAATCATTAAGTCAGAGATGAGCAGCTCTGTAAGTCATCTTCTTCTTCTGTGGTTTAACCTGTTCAGCTGTCACACTGTCAGCTGGTGTTTACCTGGTCAAGTGTGTTAAGCTCCACCTCCTGGTATTCTGTTTTCAGGTTCAGAGGAAGAGGCGGAGCACACAAAGTCCTCCGGTTTCTAGACACAACGCCAAGAGCGGGAGAGCTGCGAGTACCAGGAGGACGGCGAACGCCGACAGTGATCCCACCCCCCCAACAGAGACCATTGATGTGATGGACGGTCAGTCCCGATCAGTACACTCAGTTTCCAACTGATCGAACAGTCATTGATAGGCCTGCATCTACAGGTGTTTTCAGACCAGACCTGACTCATTTAGACACGCTCTCAACCTCTCGGCCAATCAGAGAGCTGCTTCTTTTCGAAGTAAAACTGAAGAGAAAAACATGTTCAGACCTCACCGGAAGTGATGTAAGTAGCAGGTCCTCACTGCTAAGAGAAATAAACATACCTGAGCTGTCTGCTGAAGGTGACCTCCCACACCTGAAAATACAGTCAGTGGGTTTCCTGGTGTCTCCTGATCACTGACACACCTGCAGCCTAGAGGAAACAAAATCCACCTGACAGTTAGAAATTCATCAGAGGTGTGATTAACACTTGACTTTAACACCTGAAACTCGCGACCACACGTCTGACACACAGGTGACCAAAAACGGGACAGTCACAGCTCTGTGGGGAACCTCTCTGCTCCTTAAAGTCGTTCGTGCTGGGCACCGCCAAATGGAGCCACTTTGGGTATAAAGAACCACAAGCTGTGAGAATCCAGATGTTTGACAGTGAGTGTTCATGCCCATTTATCTCGATCTGTTTACCTGATTATTGGTTATCGATAAAATCACCAGACTTGGAGATGAAACACTTTGATCGTAAAGATGGAGCCACGTTACGTCACTGATGTCGGGTAACGTCGAGAATGATGAATAGTTGAATCTCGACACTCGGTTTCATTTCTCATCTGCTTCACTTGGACTTCGCTTGGCTTCGCTTTTTTTTTTTTTTTTTTTTTTTTTTTTAAATTATCTGACTGATGCAGGCGTACAGTGAATCCATTTCATCGCCACGCTGTGACGCTGTTGGCCTGAATGGAGACGGTGCCGCATGTCAGGCTAACACAGGCTCCTCCCCTCTGTGTAAGTGTGGGCAGAGCATGTACACGAATCTGAGTTTGTGGTTGTGTGTGTGTGTGTTCAGGTGAGGAGGAGGTGGTTGTGGATCTCACCTGTGAGAGTGGAGCAGAAGCTGCTGCTGTGGTCGACCTGACTACCAACAGTGACTCTGTGCTGGTAACTCTCACACACACACACACACACACACACCCACACACACACACACACACACACACGAAGTGTGCTAATGTCTAATTCTTCTTCTGTGTTTGTTTGTTTTTTTTGTTTTTTTTCCTGCTGTATCCAAAACTTCAGCTGGTGGATGAGGGTAAGTCAGACTTTGTGTTCCAAAGACTAGATTGAGGCCTGAGCTCTCACTAAGGAAGCGGTCTAATGCCTGTGTGACTGTTTTCACTCAGGTCCTCAGAACTGGAGACCACCTGTACAGAGTTATCTTGTTAGCAGCGATGAAGATGAAGACACACCCCCCGTCCTCAGTGCCACCCTCCTGCCACCGACAAACACCTCCAGGTGATACACCAACCCCTACACACTTTTATAATGTTCTTCCTCTACGACCCCCCTTCCCCCCAAAATTTTTGCACATGCCAAGGAGCGTGTCAGGCTACGTTTTCACTGTGTGTTATACTTGTATAACTATGCATGTGACAAATAAAGAATCTTGAACTTGAACTTCTGCAGGTGATACACTGACCCTGCCAGTGACCTCACTCAAATGTTTTTGTGTTTCAGGTCAACTCCAGGGACAATCAGCTGTCCTGTGTGTCTGGATGGATACTCAGAGGTCAGTCAGAGGTGTGTGTGTGTGTGTGTGTGTGTATGTATTCAGACTTTTCAGCATGAATAAAGCAGAAAAATGAACTTTATTGAAACCGAGTGCCAGCAGCGAGGTTCTTTCTTTATCCTGCTGCACATGCTCAGTGTGAGCTCCGAAGACGCTTCCTTCAGGGTGAGCGTGCTCAGAAAGTATACAAACACATAACATCCTTATAGAATATGATGTAACACTATAGATCAACTTACCTCAGAATATATAAAGCATATAAACAATTACAGCAATATGATGCAACAAACACAGCAGTGCTACTAATCCAAAATACTCAAAGCTTCATAGAACTGAAACAAACATTTATTTTTAGGCTCCATTCTGCTGCTGATACATACTTTAGGTTTCTGAATATTACACTTGTTGCTGCCTTTCATAGTGTGTAACTTGAAGGCCCTGAGTACTTTCTCCCACACTGAAAACACTGGAATGATAAAATTATTTGAACATTACCTAATAAGACTGATTCAGGACAGACAATTAGTTATGTTAAACTTTCTAGCAGTCCTTCACAAACAGGGAACAGTCTGTCTATTCTCTCCATCTGTCAGCTGCTGCTGGCTCTTCCTCCTCCTCTTCCTCACACACTGCTGAGTTTGTCCTGGTGGATCATCAGGGGTGCAAAGCCTCACAGATGATGTGCAGCAGTGGGTCCCTCAGTCTGTCCTCACTCTGGACACTTGCAGTTGTCACACATGGAAATCAAATGTGTGATAAGCTGCAGGATTCAAACACAAGTGTAACTTATAAACACATGTTCATACTTTTATTCCACAATCAGAGAGAAAGAAACAGAGAGAGAGTGCAGGACAGACAGACAGGTGACAGTCTCAGGTGTATACACTGCTACAAACAGACAAAAGAAGGAGGATTTAGTGTTTGTGTTATTACGAAACAAGAAGAGTTCCCAGATGGTACAGTGGACACATGTGTGACTCCTGTGATTAAAGCATCTTTCTTTCAGCTTAACGAGTGAACCGTCAGCTCGTTCAAACACACGTTAAAGTCCGTTTGGCTCGACACCACCGAACAGAGGCAGCAATATAACATAGCTAACATTAACAGTGCAGTGAATCCTGCTTGTGCCGTGATATTCAGGACTGCAAACCGAGCAGCATTCACTAGCTGTGTCCCAAAACCTAGGCCGTATCCTCCTGAGGCAGCACTTGAACAACGTGAGGTAGGCTGTCCCAAATTGAAGGCTCCTCCAAATGCGTCCTTCATTTTCCAAGATTTTGAAGGATGGGTCGGGTGTGTCCTTCGTGGCCCACCGTATCCCAGAATTCATAGCCCAGTCAATTCCAGTTGCCAACAATGGCGGCCGCTACTTAGTTTTAATATTACTCTTATTAATCATTCTGGGTCACAAAATAACTTTTAACATATTTCCAGGCGAGAATGTAGCTGTGTAAAGTTCAAATATCTGCTTTATCAAGACATCGCATATTTGCAAAAGTGCGACGTTTGTGGAGATGTCTGTTACCCACCAGCTTGATAGCTAGCTGGGAGGTCGAAGCTCACTAGAGAACAGCGGACACCCGGCACATCGTTATCAGACCTGCCGCCGTCTTTGGCTACTCAGGTTAAACATGGTGTGTGTGTGTGTGTGTGTGTGTGTGTGTGTGTGTGTGTGTGTGTGCCACTCACATGACTTAAATGTTATTGTTTGGCTTTTTTCACTGTTTTATTTGTTCCTGAGTAAATCGGTTTGGCTGAGATTAAAGTTATTAGATAAAATAAAACTTTATTAGTCCATCGGGAGGGTTCCTCGCGGGTTTTCACACAGCTGAATAAACATCAAACAGAAAACTGATTAAAGTGCGAGATTCAAAGTGTTTATTGTCATGTGTGCAGAAGAAATAGCTTTTCTCTGTGCAATGAAGTTCTTCCTTTGCTGTCCATACAGAAGATGGTCGAGATGATTGAGAATTTTCTCCAGTGTCCTGTTATATTTTAGATAGCAAGGAGCAGATGGCTGAGTTTATTCATGCCCATCGAGATGGCTGGTGACACAAATCTGAAGGCTAGACCGTCCCATTTCACAGTCTCACTTCTGGGACACAGCTAGTGTGAGCTCTGAGTAACCTTCAAGATAGACTTTACAGCCCTCAGCTTGCTGCTGATTTAATGCAGGGGACGTTTCTTTCAGTGTGAGCGTGCTCAGAACAAATTGGTGTTGGTGACTCGAGTGTGCCTAAAAATAGTCCAACACAATGCTTGATGAAATGTGTGCTTCCTGAGGCATTGTGGTTAATGAAATACAGGCTTTACTACATTCACATGGCCACTGATCAATGAACCTAATCAATAAACATACATTTGCTGACTCTTATTTTGAAAGTTTCAGTCTGGTTTTGTGTTTTACTTTGAAAGTATTACAGTGACGTTTGAGTGCATTGCTCTGATTGGCTGTTGGTGTGTTGTTGTTGTTGTTTAATTTCTGTTTGCGTTTTTTTTTGTTGTTTTTTTTGGTTTTTTTTCTTCGCAGATTGTTGGGAGCGGCCGATTGGTCGTGTCCACCCGTTGTGGTCACGTGTTCTGTAGTCAGTGTTTGAGAGACTCTCTGACATCATCACACACTTGTCCCACCTGCAGGAAGAGACTTACTCACCGCCAGTACCACCCCTTGTACATCTGACATCACTCTGAGACCACAGCTGAGTCCTGCTGCCATTGGACCACAGGCCATGATGTTGATGTTATTTGCTGCTGAATTGTATTTTTTTTTTTTTTCTTTTTTGTGTGTGCGCCTCTGTTTGGACATTAAAGTGTTGAGTCATAGCTGGTAAACATGGATTAATGATTCATCTGTGTTGATTTGTTTGTTAAAGCTGAAATAAATTTTGATTTGTTTCACTCATTGATCAGCTGATGGATCTACAACGTTATGGCAGTAATGTGGAGAATAATACTGCACAATGTACTTTCTGTAATCAGAGTACAGGAAGTACTCGTACTCACACACACACACAGCACTGTTTTAGTCTGACTCTGTGTGTGGTGTGTGTTTGGGGGGGGGGGTGCTTGCACTGATGAATTATGGGTAGTCAAGGGCGAAGATTAGGCATGGACGGAAGGGACATGTCCCCACCAGTATCCAGCGATTATTGAATTGTCCCCACCAATAATTTGATCTCTTCGAGTAAAGAAAATCAAACCCGATAGAAGGGGGGGG